CATACTAGGCATCAAGATCTATAGGGATATATAAAAAAGGATGATTGGATTGAGTCAATGTACTTATATTTATAAGGTACTTGCTCGATTTGGCATGGAGGAGGCCAAGAGAGGTCACCTGCCAATGTCACATGGCATAACCCTAAGCAAGAAGCAGTGTCCACAAACACCTGATGAGCGGGAAATAATGAATCAGATTCCATATGCTTCGCTTATTGGATCGATCATGTATGCCATGATATGTACTAGGCCAGATGTATCGTATGCCTTGAGTGCTACTAGCCATTACCAATCAGATCCAGGAGAGGCCAATTAGACTGCGGCCAAGAATATCCTAAAGTACCTGAAAAGGATCAAGGATAAATTCCTGGTGTATGGTGGTTCAGAGGAATTAGTTGTAGAAGGTTAAACCGACGCAAGCTTCTAGAAAGACAGAGACGATTTCAAATCACAATCTGGATATGTGTTTTGTCTAAATGGAGGGGCGTTTAGTTGGAAGAGTGCCAAGCAGAGAACAACTGCAGATTATAAAACTGAAGCCAAGTACTTAGCAGCTATTGAAGAGGCTAAGGAGGCTATTTGGATTCGTAAGTTCATTGGTGAACTTGATGTTGTACCCTCCATAAATGGTCCAGTAGCCCTCTATAGTGACAACAATGGAGCTATTGCTTTGGTTAGAGAGTCAAGGTAACATCAAAAAGTCAAACATGTCAAACGGCGGTTTCACATGATCCGAGAATGGAATTTAGAAGGTGAAATCAGAATTTGCAAAGTTGGAATGGATGACAATGTAGCCGATCCACTTACTAAACCTTTGCCTCAAGTGAAGCACAACAAGCACGTTGAGGCAATAGGAATCAATCATGTAGGAGACTGGCTTTGATTTCCTTGTTTAGTGTTTTAGTTAAATTTTGAACATTTAATGTAAGACACTAAGAAAAACCATTCAAGTTTTGGAGTAATATAAATTTCATGCAATATTTTATCACTCCGGTTGCTATTTAATTGTGGTTTAGGATTAAATAATGAGTCCATTCAATTTTGAGAATATTCAAAATAGGGTATCAAGACCAGTCTTGGTAAGGAAACACCTATTAAGTGAACATTGAATATTATAATCGAAAATTATCCCTAATCAAGGTCATTTAAACTGTGGACGATTAATGACCAATTGAGATTAGTGTGTAGTCTGATTTATAACACCATTTCTTGTGCTATGAGGACATGATTGTCATAAATCATTTGCACAGGTATTGGTTTAGAACCATACTAGATCGACCTATGAGAATACTTTAATAGATTAAAAATCGTCATAAGTATACTTCTCATTATGCCTATCGGAACCTATTTCCTCGACCATGAGTATTGTGAGTTATCTTGTTTGAGTACTAGTCCGCTTTGATGTTGTCAAACGTCTGCCGTAATAAGGGATTATAACGGCAACACTCGGGCGGCTAGGTCCTCTCAGTAAGAGGAGCTACATTACAAGACTGGGAATGTTTGTTTATTGACAGTCGGACTCGGAATCGAGAAACACTTCTGCACGTAATAAGGATGACGAAATAATCTTACCTTATAGTTCATGAAGAGACATTAAGTGACATAAGAAAAAGGATGTACACTAAATGTGCACTTATCCGGAAGGACAAGTGGGAGATTGAAAGGAATGGTGTCCTTTGAACAAGTGTACTATTCTGTTAGTGGGTTAAGAATTATTAGAAAGCTAATATATTAAGTAAGGTCAAGTGATCGGAATGCTTGGGTGGAGGCCGCTTCCGATCAGTAATATTAATGCTTAATTAATTGCTTAATCTTGACTGAACCCTTCGGGTCACACCCAACTAACTAATGAACCGAAGCGACGAATTAATTATGAATTAATTAATTAGTCAACCGAGTAATAAATATTTAGACGTCGGGAATTAGAGCTTAGAGCGTCGAAACCGAACGTCGGAAGTCGAGTCGAAAAATAATAAAAGACAAGACATGAAAATAATAATAAATCAACAAAGACCAAAATACCCTAGCATCAGAATGCCTTGAGCCAACCGAGTGCTAGGGGCATTTGACCTAGGATGGTGGCTAGCATGCACACCAAGTCGAGCCTAGGCTGGCTGATGCGTGTTAGCACACCAAGGCTAGCATCGCAAGACTAGGCATTGCCTAATGCGTGCTAGCGCTGCTAGGGGCTGCCTTGTGCGCGCATTGGCTAGCAGCCATGCCCTAACAAGCCGCAGCAGCTAGCACGCAATGCGCGCCAGCCGCCGCAGCTAGCAGTAGCATGGCTGGGCCATTGCGCGCCTGCTAGCGCTGTTGGGTAGCCACAGCAAGGCAGCCCACCTTGGGTGCCTTGATGCCCAAGGGTGGGTGCCACATGGCGCCAAGTGAGAGGAGTGTGAGGTGATGTGTTGGCCGGTTTTGGGAGAGGGAGTGGGGAGCAAGTTTGGTCCCCCCTTCCTCCAAATGGTCCTCACCTAACTTCTCACATGAGCTTAGTTTTGGGTTTGTTTCCGCGGTGAGTCGGACTCACCAAACCCCAACACATTGATCTAGAGGAGGGCCTAATATTGATTTATCATTCCTAATGCAATTAGAATTGATTATAGTTTTCTAGATTCTTCTAGAAGATTCTTTTTACCTAATTTAATTAGCATTGATAAATTGTATTAGTTGACTTTTTAGAGTTTTAATGAGTTTAAAAGAAGTGTTTTTAAGGAAAATATGATTTTTTTGTTTTGTACGGCTAAATTTTATCAAAATTAAGAAAATGCATGAAATTGTTTTTTAGCGCCTGACAACAGGATTAGCGCCTGGCGCTAATGCTTGGCGTCTGGCGCTAAGTCGTTTTATTCTGATCGAAACTCTGATTCGTTTTTTTTATCCATCCGGCTGATTTTCTCTATAAATAGCCTCCTAAAACCTCCGTTTTCCATCATACAAAAATCATCAACATCAATTAATTTTCTTATTCTCTCTACAAAACTCCTCATTCAGAAGATCTAGACACACCTAGCCAAGTTCGAAGTTGCCTTCGCCCTAGATGTGAAAGGTTTTAATTTCTGAGGGTTTGGTCCCAAATCTCTTTTTCAATTATTTAATTTAATTGTTTATTTTATATTTTCCTTGAAGTTACTAACGTGTGTATTTTGTTATTAGAAAGAGATACGAGTAATCCACGTAAGTGCTTTATTTGTTTGCATTGATATTATGATATAGAAATCATGTCTAGGTTGTTATTATGATTCCTAGTATCATGTTAGGATGCTTGATGTTTTGAATGTCAACAATGATTCCAAGTATTATGTTTAGGGAAAAGGTTATAATATTAAATATACTTATTATGATTCCTGCGATGCCTTTTATTTCTTTCCTAATATTCATGTTAGTATCATGTTAAGGCTAAATATTTGAGCATTTACGTTATTTTTTTGTCAATTCCGAGCTTAATTTGTGTCCATAAAAGGTCAAAATGTCCCCCAAAACTATACCCGAGTAATTTTTTTGCCACGAAATTAAATGAAGAAAAAATATATTATTTTTATTAATTAAATAAATAATTAAAATGAACCAATCATATTATGACACGTGTCAAGATTTAATCTTAATGACTAACAGAGTTAACGACCGTTAGTGAATAATGACATTTGGTGAATTTTTTAAAAACTCGATGGCATTTGGTGAATTTTGAAAACCTTGATGGCATTTGGTGAATTTTTAAAGTACTCAATGGCATTTGGTGAAATAGCCGCACTTTATTAATGCAATTTTTACTTTATTTTATTAATGCATTTTTCAGCTTTTTAAACTAAATTAACTTTTTACATTTAAAATTCTTAGCAATGAAAACGACTTGAATAATACCGAGAATTATTCGAGTACGCAAGTCGAAAATTTCCAGAAAACACCGAAATTCTGCAGAACGTTTGGTGCTGCAATTTTGACGTTGTCGTCGTCCTAAGAAATTGTCGCGATGCGCTGCTCGTTGTCGCTGTGCGACAGTTGCGGTGTGTCGCGTTAGACTAATTGTTGCACGCCGAATGTTCTATTGCCGACGAATCGATGTTTTTGGAATTAAAGTGGCCGCACCCTATAAAGGGTTGCCTGCGTATCCTTTCCTAAGGAATCAGGCCAAACGTAGCTCTCTTGAGTTATCCTACTCAAGTAATTATGGGTAGTACTTCTTAAGTTGGTCAAGATTGGTCATATTTGAAAATTCGTTACCATCCATGTCGGTTTTCTTTGCAGCACCTCCCGATAGGATAGTTTTGACAATGTATGGTCCGGACCAATTAGGCCTAAATTTGCCTCTTGGGTCTAGAACATTCTTCCTTAGTGCTTTTAACACTAAGTCTCCTACCTTGATATTTCTTGTCTTGACCCTCTAATTAAAGTGTCTAGCCTATGATGTAAAGCTTCTAGTCGTTTTTTACCAAGTAAAATTAACTCTTCATATCCCGCTCTAGTCCATTCGATTTCATCGAGTTTATTTTCCAATGCAATGCGTAGGGAAGTTATTTCTAGTTTTATAGGTTGTACGACATCCATTCCATAAATTAAGGAAAATGGCGTATTTCCTGTTGATGAGCGAATTAACGTGCGATAACCCTAAAGAGCAAAGTGGAGTTTGTCAGACCAATATTTGTAGTTTTCTGTCATTTTCTCGATGATAGTCTTTAAATTCTTATTGGCTGCTTCTACTGCACCATTCGCTTGAGGCCTATATGGGGAGAAATGATGGTGTTGAATACCATACTTTTGTAGCAATTTTTCGCATTCTGATTGAAAGTGAGTTCCATTGTCACTAATCATTTCATATGGGACTCTATATCGACATGTGATGTTTCTTTCGATAAACAGTGCTACATGCTTTGCGGTGAGTTTTGCATATGATGCCGCTTCAACCCACTTTGTAAAATAGTCGATTTCTACTAGGATGTATTCGTGTTCTCTTGTCCCTTGAGGAGTAATCTTTCCAATAATATCCATTCCCCATGTTGAGAATGGCTATGGTGAAGTGTAAGTGTAAAGGAGTGATGGGGGAATGTGATGCAAGTTAGCGTATATTTGGCATTCAGGACATCTTTTCACGTAGTGATAATAGTCCTTATTCATAGTAGTCCAATAATACCCTTCACGCATTATCTTTTGGACTAGCATCTTTCCACTTTGGGCTTCCTTTAATTTTTTCCTACACATAAGAGAGGTCGACCTTGAGGTACCCTTTTGTGTAGCTCATAGTCTATGAGTACATATTGGGAAGCCAAAAGTCTTAGAACTCGTTTTCTTTATTGTCCGCATGGAGTGGATATTCTCCTTTGGTGACATAGTTAAGGATGTCTGTATACCATGGTTCTTCTTCTTTTTCCTCTTCTTCTTGGACTACCTCATCGTCATCTATGGCTTGAATGTAAGCAGGTTTATGCCTCTTTATTGTTAGCAGCATTTGCTCAATTTCTGTGGGAATTCTAACCATTGAGGCTAGCCTTGCCAAAGCATCAACGAATTGATTTTCCTCTCTTGGTATGTAGATATGTGTATTCTACCTTTTCTAATTAATCAGTGAGAGTTTCCAGATATGTTTGGTAAGGGCCAAGATTTCTCTCCTTACTTTCTACCTTTTGGAAATCTGGTTGATAATTAGAGTAGAGTCTCCGAATATTCAAAGTTTCTTTACTCCTAATGCCAACGAGGCCTACCACGCATGCCTCATATTCTGCAGCATTGTTGGTAACGTCAAAATCTAACTTTATGGAGATTAAGACATGATCTTCTAATAATACTCCTACACCACAACCTTTTTGGTTTGATGCCCCATCAAAGTATAACGTCCACGTATCATCTTCTGTGAGCATTAGATCTTCATTTGGAAATTCGTTTTCATGCATTGGCGTCTAATCCTCTATTGGGAAATCTGCTAGAAAATCTGAGACTACCGATCCTTTAATAGATATCTGGGGCATAAACCTTACATCAAACTAAGCTAAGTTTACTATCCATCTCGATATTCTCCCATTAAGGGTAGATTTCTCGAAGAGATACTTAAGTGGATCCATTCGAGATACTACATAGGTTGTGGCCTACACTAATGCGAGACACAATTTTTCAAATGATGTATATCGTACTTCATACTCGAGCATCTTTTTTCTTAAGTAGTAGATGGAGTTTTCTATTCCTTCTACTTCTTGTGTGAGCATAGCCCCCATTGTCTCTTTGGTGACAATTATATATAACCAAAAAGGGATTCTCGGGAGCGCTGACGCTAATACAGGAGGATTAGCGAGATAGGCTTTGATTTTCTCAAAGGCTTTTTGTCACTCATCGTCCCATATTACTGGTACGCTCTTCTTTAATTTCTGGAATATGGGTTCACATATCGTGGTTAATTTGGATATGAACCTACTTATATATTGCAATTGGCCAATGAATCCTCAAATTTGTTTCTCGGTCTTGGACGGTGGCATTGACATTATTGCTTTAACCTTGGTTAGGTCTATCTCTATTCCTCTAGAGCTAATAACGTATCCCAAGAGTTTTCCTAAGGTTACTCCAAAATCACACTTGGATGGATTTAACCTCATGATATATTTTCTCAGTCTTTCGAAGAATTTTCTTAAGGCTTCTAGATGTCTTAGACGATCTTTTGATTTTACTATCATATCATTTACGTAGACTTCAACTTCTTTGTGCATCATGTCATGTAATAAGGTAGTCGCTGCTCTTTGGTATTTGGCACCCGTGTTTTTAACACGAATGACATTATTGTGTAACAGTAAGTGCCCCATGGCGTTATGAATATAGTCTTTTCCATATCTTTCTCGGCCATGAGAATCTGGTTTATCCCGCGTATCCATCCAAAAACGAGAGTAGCACATGATTTGTTGTATTGTCTACCAAAATGTCAATGTGTGGTAAAGGGAAGTTGTCCTTTGGACTCGACTTATTTAGATCACTGTAGTCGACACACATTCTTACCCTTACATTATTCTTTGGAATTAGTACCACATTTGCAACCCATTCTAAGTATTTGGATACCTTGATAAAACCTGTGGTAATTTGTTTTTGAATTCTTCTTTTTATTTTAAGAGCTACGTCAGGTTTCATATGACGTAACTTTTGTTTTACGGGTTTAATTCCTTGATTTAATGGTATTGTTGTGTTGAGCTATTTCTCTATTTATTCCTGGCATATCTTCATATAACCAAGCAAATATATTGATAAATTCTTTTAGTAGATCAATTAAACCGGTTCTTTATTATTTAGTAAGAGTAGTTAGTCCGATTTTAACTTCTCTTTTAATGTTTGGATCTTTTGAAATATCCACTATTTTAGTGTCTTCTATTGTTGGTGTTTTATTCTCAGGTGTTTCCACTGCTTTAATTATTTCTTTGTCACTTTCATTGTTAGTTAAGCAATGCTCCTCATCTTGAGTTAAGGAATAACACGAGGAGTAAGCAAAAGAAGACATATTATTGTATTTAGAATTCATTACATCAAATAAAGAAAGTTCCATTGGGACTTGACTACTAACTATCCTAGGATTAGATGCTAAAGTAGAAGAGTTAAGGAGAGGTGCTATATCTACAGGTTTTGAAGAGTCGATAGGGGAAGAGTTTGACTCTGAATCAGACGACTCTGTGAACACAGGTAATTGTCCTGTTGTTATAGATCTCTTCCGTCCGCTTGGTGTAGTCACCTTCATAGTCTTTCTCCATCCCTAGACTAGCCCCTCTATAGAAGTGATGAGCTTTGAGGGGTTAAAGCTCTCACTTTGTAGTGCAGAATGAATGAGCGCGTAGATGTCTTCAACATATTTTGGCTCATTAAAGTTCAAGCAGGGAGGTTCTTTCTCCTTGTAGATAGGAGTAGGGATGTCATTTAAGAAGTGGCAATCCAAGAAGAACTCAAACCCAGGCTGCCTTATTCCATCTTTGACAAAGAGCTCGGGAAATTCATAGCATGGATAATCTTCACCCTCTCTTATTAATTGTCCATTTAAGGTGAGGGGACATTAATCCATTGGGATTGCTTTCTTGTGAGTACGAGCATTTCTCCGCGCATTATCCTTTTCCTAGGCTTCCTTATAGTCTTTCGAAGTCGGTTCAAAACCAAGTACAAAAGTATCTAATTTAGGAAGACCAGATGATTTCATTTGTATGTCTACTCCTTTCTTATTTCCTAGAGTCATTCTAGGAGATTTAAGTGTCCTTATTTTCGGAGTATACCATTAAATATCATGTTCGAATGGAGGTCGTGGAAAAGAGGGGTCTTTCATCCTCTTCGATTAAGGAGACCTCTTCTGCGTTAAATCCCCATAAGTCTTCATCGTTGTCATTGTGCTCCACATTTATGAGAGGTTTAACAATTACCTTAATTCTCAACTAGGAGGCATCAATTGTAACAGGAATTCCTCCAACTATAGCCTTCACTTGTTGGTGAGGTGATGAAGGGACGACCTTAAGGTCACGAAGCCAAGGGCATCCCAACAACAAGTTGAAAGAAGCCCTGATTTCAACCACTTGGAAAGTTGTATCATGCTCTATCACTCCTGCGGTGATATTCATAGTAATAGTCCCAAGAGATAGTGTTGGGGTTTGGTGAGTCCGACTCACTGCGGAAGCAAACCCTAAACAAGACTGCACTCGCGATAAAGAAGACCATAAAGCATAATAACTTAATAACAAGATTAGGATAGTAATTATACCTTTGACGCGTGCTTCACCCGACCTCAAGGGGCTTGTACTTCAAAAGCAAGTCTCAAAAGTACGATGACCTCCAACGAAAGTCCACCCACAACCCGACCACCAACAAGGATCTAATGCCTTGGAGTTAGCAAGGCCCGACCAAAACTTGAGTAATTTATGAGTTCAAAGGTTTTCATAATGGTGAAGCCTTTTCCAATTCTTACTCAAGTGCTTTTACCAATACCCCAAGTTGGGTATTTATAAGAAAATGCAAGATTGTAAAAAGCTCTCCCATCAATGTGGGAGAATTTTATTTTCCCATTTTATTTTAAAGCTAAAATAAAATTAATAATCAAACTAGTTATAAATCAACGAGTGGCAAGCTCTCATTAAGGAGTAGGTGAGGACCATTTAGAGGAGGGGGGAACAAACTTGCTCCCCACTCCCTCTCCCATAACCGACCACCTAAATGCCCCAACTCTTATTTATTTTGCGCCACATGGCAGCCCACTTGGGCACCAAGGCACCCCATGTGGGCTGCTGCTGCTAGCGTGCCTCGTACCTAGTGCGAGCTGCTGCTGCCGAGGTCTGCTGCTAGCATGACTTGCACCTAGTGCGGGCTGCTAGCTGAAGCGTGCTAGCATGCCACGGCTTGCTAGAAAGCCCTGCACTTGGTGCGGGATGCTAGCTCGGCTATGCCCCTATTACTTGGTATTCTATTGTTAGGAGTATTTGGTCATTGTTGATTTATTATTATTTTCATGTCTCATCTTTTTACTATTTTCAACTCGACTTACGACGCTCGGTTTTGAAGCTCCAAGCTCGAATTTTCGACGTCTAAATATTAATTACTCGGTCGACTCATTAATTAATTCCTAATTAATTCATCGCTTCGGCTCGTTAGTTTCTTGGGTGTGACCCGAAGGGTTCAGTCATGATTAAGCTGTAATATTGATTATACATTAATATTACTGATTAGAAGCGGCCTCCACCCAGGCATTCCGATCAATTGAACTCACTGAATTATTAGCTTTTTAATAATTCCGAACCCCCTATCGGAATAATACACTTGTTCAAAGGACACCATTTCTTTCAATCTCCCACTTGTCCTTCTAGACAAGTGAGCTTTTAGTGTATAGCCCTTTTCTTATGTCGCGTAATGCCTCTTCATGAACTATTAGGTAAAATTTATTCGTCATCCTTATTACTTCCAAAAGTGTTTCTTGAAATCCAAGTCCGACTGTCAATAAACATATGATTTCTAAAATCCATCCGAGCACGGCCATGCATTTTACAGTCTTGCTCTTCGAGAGGCCTTTCAAACAACAAAAACATCTTCCCTATTATTAATAGGGGCATTTCCAATCTTGTAATGTAGCTTCTCTTACTGAGAGGACCTAGCCGCCTGTTTGTCGTCGTTATAATCTCCATGTATGACTGACGTTTGACCAACAACTAAGCGGACTAGTACTTAAATAAGAGAACTCACAATACTCATGGTTAAGGAAAAAAGGTTCCGACATCAATAATGAGAAATATATTTATGACGATTTTTGAATCTCTTATAGTATTCTCATAGGTCGATCTAGTACGGTTCTAAACCAATACCTGTGTAAATGATTTATGACGATCATGTCCTTGTCGCATAAGAAACGGTGCTGTAAATCAAACTTTACACTAATCTCAAATGGTCATTAATCGTCCATCGCTTAAATGACCTCGATTAGGGATAATGTTCGATTATAATATTCAATGATCACTTAATAGGTGTTTCCGTATCCAAGATATTGTCTTGATACCCTATTTTGAATATTCTCAAAATCGAATGGACTCAATATTTATTTCTAAACCACAATTAAATAGTCAACAGAGAGATTTAAGTCGCATGAAAAATTTTATTACTCCAAAACTGAATGGTTTATCATAATGTTCTACATTAAAATTATTTAAATTTAATCAAAACACTAAAATAAGGAATCCAAAGCCAATCTCTGATGTGCCTGATTCCCATTGCCTCAACGTGCTTGTTTTGCTTTACTTGAGACAAATGTTTAGTCAGTGGATTGGCTACATTGTCATCCGTTCCAACTTTACAAATTTTTATTTGACCTTCCCATTTCCATTCTTGAATCATGTGAAACCGCCGCTTGACATGTTTGACCTTCTTATGTTCTCTTGGCTCTCTGGCAATAGCTCCATTTGTTTTGGGTGTTTTTGTCCCACGGGAGAGTTACAACACGAAGACTGATCAAGGGTGAGCTGTACCTGCAAAACAAACGGAGACACCATTTGGGAGGTGCTCCGCCTCCGACGAACAAGTTAGAAAACTTGAAGGGAGAAAAAGGTGCGAAAATTTAGGTAGGGATCTGCTCGGATTCCAAGCTCAGGATGTCTCTATCAAAGAGTAAATGTGCAATAAATGATAAAACGTGCTCTCAAAAAGAGGGACATCTCCCTATTTATAAGGTCTCTTGGATTTTTTCCCCTGATTAGGTCACTGAGCCCTAATCATTGGTGGGCTGCGCCGCTTTGCGGCTTTCTCGGGATTTGGGCCTGAAGGCCGCCTTTTCCCCTTATTTTTTGGAGTGACACATGTCAAGTAGAGATTGGTACACTTTGGGCCATCTTGAGGCTGACACGTGTCATCCTCTGATTGGACCACTTGGCGGGGTAAAATTACCCTAAACATTTGCCCCTCACAGATGTGACATGGCACGCCACGTGGCATCTGTGACATGTGTCACGCTCCGATTGGCGGAAATTTTACCATTAAAGAGTAATTGTTCACCTTCCGGGTAAATTACGGAAATGCCCCCGTATTTACCCTCTATATATAGTCGTTTACCCTCATAATTTTGGTACGTTTACAAAAAAATTTCTAGAGAGAACTTTGAGAGACCAAAAGTCATCCGTTTGAGTCAGGCGCAAGCAAGAAAGCTCGCCTTCCAGAGACCCAGCCGGACACGCCTAGTTTCAGATATCTCTTCAAAAGGTACCGTCTCCGCCTCTCTCAGCTCTTTTTCTTTTTTCACCGCTTGTACATATTTCTTGCAATAAATGGATGCATCACAAACACACATGGCACAACCTAGGTTAGAGTCCAGCCGGTCACCAGGAACGGCTGAGTCTAGGACTGGGAGTGCCGTCTCGGGGTGATGGGACCACCCTTTGCCTCGGATTTCGACCAGTTACATGTCTGTGCAGGACACAATGGCTTGGATAAAGCAGACATCGACTGATCCAAATTACAAGAGCGAAGGCTCAGGCAGCTAATCGCCTGAGGGAGAAACGTCTGGTCAGGGTGACCAGACGGCTCTGGAGAGATCTACTCTGCGCGCCCCTTCAACCCCTGCTGACTCTTTCTTGGAAGAGTGCGACCAAGGCGGCGACGAGGCCACCTCTGCCCCCTTGAATCAAAGTGAGGAGGAGACGGAGAGCGACAGCTCCGCCTCTACCTCTGAGAGTAGTGACGATTTACCCCCGCTTCCGGATAGCGAGGAGGAAGAAAGGATGAAGTGGTACGAGAAGGATGATCCCTTCAACATCCACGTCTCCTCCAAGGACCGGATCCAAATGGAGGAAAACTTGAAGAATTTTACTAAAATGCACCCGCTTGGAGAATGGCACCGTCGCCTGGGAGGACGATCAAGAGAACGCCAACAACTATTTCGGCTGTTATGAGGCGGCGTTCAAGGCTGGTCTCTGCTTTTCCCTTACCAGGCGGTGAAGGCAATTTTGAGAAGCTACGGCCTCGGAGTCTGGCAACTTACCCCCAACTCTTTGAAAAACATTCTAGGGTATGTTGCCGCTTGCGAGTTTCAAGGGATTCACCCCGGCTGGGAGGCTTTTGCTAGCATGCATTATCTTAGCAGAAGCCTAGGCGGCTGGAGGGCGTGGAACACTCTAACCACGCAGCCCCAATATATGATGACTTGGACAAGGTCTCAAAATTCGACGGCTGGAAGCACAGGTTCTTCCTGATGTCAGCTCCAACCAGACGGGAGAATTATGAATTCCGTCTGTACAATAAGGCGGCCGGAAGTGTGCTCTTCCCCGGGTTCCAGAGGAAGACTTTGACAAGATCATTGAGGCAGACTTTTTTGGCCTCTCAGACGCGACCTTGTCAACCAGGGAAACAATAAAAGTTCCCAAGAACTGGATCCCTAAGAGCGCCTGGTTCAGGGACGAGTGCTTCCTAGCCGCCTGCGGGCTAGGGCACATGTTCACCATTCGTATGCTCCTGAGTTTATATCCGTCTGTAGTATTTTTCTATCGAAATTGTTTAATGATATTGACCAATTTCCTTCTTTTTGCAGAAGAAGCATCAAACATGTTGCAGACGGAGAAAACCCCAAAGCGATCCTCTGCTGTCATCCGCAAGGCGCTTGCGGAGAAGGCTGCGGCTGAGGTCAAAGCCAAGATAACAAACGCCTGACTCTTTCATAAGTTGATCTTTTAAAATCATTTTTCTCGGATGCTAACCTTAACTTTGGTTATTTTTGTAGGGAGGAGAGGTTGGAAAATCGTTTGAGAAAAAAACTCAAACGGGCTAGGGAGGAGACCCCTGCCGTTCTCAACAAAATCAAAAAATCCACCACTACATCAACTCCTGGCGCCTCAGCCGGGCATCAGCAGATGCGGATAGCGGGGCGACTCGAGAAGATAGGCGGCAGCGTGTGCCTTGATCTTGTCAACTCTTTTTAGCAGCCGCGGGGTTTACCACGCCTGCAAGCGGTTCCCGCTTGGCTGGCTCTGAAGGTAAGAGCCCTTTTGAATCCCTGCTTGAGATGTGGTGGCCTTTGCGGGTGAAATTTCACTCTCAACAGACGTCATCTTCAGACGGCCGGCAACAAATAGGTGCTGCCTTAGTTTCGCACTCATCACGTATTGATTGTGGTGCAGATCAATCTCCTCGCTGGCCAGACGTCCAGAAGCACGCCAAGGCCATCATGGAATCCGTCCGGAAGAGGGATAAAGACAGTATCCCTAGGATAGAGACGTTTAATCTTGAACGCATTCTATCCCTTCTGGCTGAGGTAAGAACCTTGTCAGTTCAATTTTATTTTTTCCAAGTGTTTTATCCCGCCTGCAATACTCACACCGCTTGCTTTTCTGCAGGCTATGCTGCGGGTGTACGGGCTCAAACGTCCTTATTCCCGCAAACGGGAAGCTGTAAAAAGGGCCAAGAAGTCTGCCATAGACGCTGACAATATTGCTTTGCACTCAACTATCTTAAATGAACTTGAAACTAAAGCAATCATTATGACACAGGCGTCTAGAATCCTGCAGCTGGAGTCAGATATGGAGGCGGCCAAGCAGCGGGCGAATGATGCTGAGACGGCCCGGAAGCAGGCGGAGGAGGCTCAGAAGAAGCCTGCTGAGAGTGCCAAAAAGGCTGATGAGGCACTCAAGAAGGCCCAGACGGACCTTGGCAATCTTCAGGGTGTTTTTGAAGAGAACACCAATCTAAAGACCAAGGTACAAAAACTGGAGAAGGAGGTTGCTCAGGCTCAGATAAACTTTGCAGCAACCCTGGAGGCGGAGCAAAACCGTCTAGTTGCTGAGAGTGACGCTGATAATGACGCCCGGACGCGGATTATGGCGTCTGGGCACTGGCTCACAAGTATGCCGAGGACGTGGTGTACCTGAGAGAGAAGGGTGATCCAGAGCCTGAGTCCTTTAACGCCTGGGTTAATTCCAACAATGAGCCCCTCGTACCTCAGCTACCTGGTCCGGGTGAAGCGCAGGAGATACCCTCAGATGATGAGGAGGACCAGGAGGAGCTGCCTACAGGCCAGAAGTGACTTTTTAGCGGTAGTATGCCAATCTCTTTTTTTTTTGTCTTTCTTTTATACAGCGGCAATATGCCAAAACTTTTTTTTCCAGCCTGCGTGCCGAGTAAATTTGTATTGACCAGCTGAGGAGCCGGGTCAATTAACAATTTCTGTTTCTCCCAGACGGGGTCCGGTTAACATTTTAATCCACTACAACCGTTTGGTTGGGTGATTTTTATGAAATGCACCGACTGAGTCGGTTTTGATTATTTTTAATTTTTCATTTTTGCCTAACTTATCAAAATCATGCGGCGATTTTTAATTTTTGCCTAACTAATCAATAGTTTGGCTGTCCTTGCCCCTGGACGGCTGTGTGTTAGTTTCAAGTGGAGTCGGTTGATTTACTTGAAAACGTCTGATGCTGTAAAAAGCATGATATGTTTCCAAGTCAATCAATCACAATAATGATTGCCCCAAACCAAGTGCACAGCCGTACACCAACAGGCGTTCTAGTCACTACCCAAACGGTGCTTATCCCTCTTGGTAGAGATTTCACAGCCATTGCACGACTCCTTTGCCCCAATTGAGGTAGGAATTGCAATTTTGGAATAAACAACCAAGTGAGATCTTCAGTCGGTGACTGACTGATGCCCCAGGGCATTCGGTATTCGGCAACTTGATCATTCTTCACAGGTCATTTTGGTCAGACGACTATGAGTTGACCAATTTGGTCGTTTAATTTTTGTCGTCTGCATGGGTACGTAGAACTGACAAATAGCCTGTTCTCTACGACGATTGCACCTGGAGGGGAGTCGCCGGACGCCTTTGTCCATGTTGGGACAGGCGATTTTATAAAATGAGCAACCATCCGGCCATTTTAGCCTCTGGTCTTGTTTGAGACCGGTTGTATAGCCACTAAACGTTTTTGTGCTTAGTTTTTAGTCAAAGTATTGAATTTACACTAAGTATCGAACTTAGTTTTCTAAACAAACGAGTCTGTCTGGGTATTACCCAGACGGATAATCAAGCAGTTGAATAAACAAAGTATTAAACTTAAATAAACAAGGGATCCGAGTATTACCCAGGCGGTCAAACAAATGTAACCTTTACTAAGTATCAAACTTAGTTAGGTAAATGAAGAATCCGTCTGGGTATTACCCGGATGGATAATCAAACAATAACTCAATTTTGCAAACAAAGTCTGAATCTTCATTAATTGACTCACTGTTTACAAAAAGTTTACAATCTCAAAAGTAGTACTTTTTTAGATTATGTACATTCCAAGTTCTAGGCAGACGCCTGCCGTCTGGAGTTTCTAGGTGGTAGGTGCCATCCCTTATTCTTCATAGATCTGGTAGGGGCCTTCCCAATTTGGGGTTAACTACCCCAACTCATTGGCCCTACCGGTTGCCTCCATTTTTCGTAACACTAAGTCGTCAACTTTCAAAGGACGCTTGTGTACTTTTTTGTTGTAGGCTCTCGTCATTCTCAGACGATAAATCTCATGATGCGAGGCGGCATTGCCCCTGTGTTCTGGGAGTGAATCCAATGCCAAGCGCATTGCTTCCCAATTCGCCTCTACATCATATAGCATGACTCTGAGGGTTGGCTCGTAATGTTCGATGGGCAAGACGGCTTCAGCACCGTAAACGATGAGAAATGGGGTTTCACCGGTTGCCCCCTTCGCTGCTGTCCGGATGGCCCATAGGACATGGATTAACTCTTCTGCCCATAAGCCACCGGCTCTTTCTATTTTCTTCTTAATGCCGTCTGAGATGAGTTTATTGAAGGCTTCAACTTGGCCGTTTGCTTGGGGACGGCCAACGGACGCAAAATAGCTTGAGATCCCCTGATCTCCCAACCAAGTTTTTAGCCGAGGCGTCTCAAACTGAGGACCATTATCAAACACCATAAACATAGGTACCCAATACCGGGTGATAATGTTTTTCCAGATGAAGGAAATCACGTCTGAGGTTTTGATGTTTTTAACCGCCTCAGCTTCTACCCACTTGGTGAAATAATCCACAGCCACCAAGATGTAGCGCTTACCGCCTGGAGTAGGCGTGTAAGGACCTAAAATGTCCATGCCCCTTTTTGCAAACAGGATTGGGCTGTGGATTGCCGTCAGATCAGTAGCCGGACGGTGAATGAGTTTGCCAAGTTTTTGGCATTTGTCACATTTCTTTACCAACTCCTTGGCGTCTGCCTCAAGAGTAAGCCAAAAATAATGTCGTCTGGCTTTGACGGCTAGGGACCTGCCGCCTATATGAGAGGCGCAGAATCCCGAGTGCAAGTCTTCGAAAAATTCTTTCCCCTTTTCTGGGGTGACACACTTCAACAAAGGATTCAGAAACCCCGCCTTGAAGAGTTCTCCATTTTTCAACTCGAATCTTGTAGCTCGTTTTTTCAGGACGGCTGCCTCCTGTGGCGAATCAGGAAGTGTGCCATCTGAAAGATAGGCCTGGATGCCATCCATCCAGGTAGAGCATTGGTCCAGGATTCCAATGGGGTCCTCATAGATGCTTCTCTTTTCAAGAACTTCCCAGAATACTGACCGAGGCGTATCATGGCAGGCGGAAGACGCCAGTTTTGACAATGCATCCGCCTGATTGTTTTTCGACCTAGGCACTGGACTCAGCCGGAATTCCTCAAGGGCCTTGGTCTCTTCTTCGAATTCCTGAAGAGATTTAAGCATAGCCGGATGAGTAGCTAATAGGTTCCCTCATACTGGCTAACAACCAATTGAGAATCAGAGTAGGCGTCAATTTTCATGGCCCTTGCTGCCTTACACATGCGAATGTCGGCTAACAGGGCTTCATATTCCGCCTCATTGTTAGAGGCTTGAAATTTGAAGCGTAGTGCATACTCAAATCTGTCCCCTTCAGGAGACTCGTAGATTACGCCTGCACCACAGCCGTTCTTTGTAGAGCTCCCGTCTACATACACTTTCCAAACCTGATCAAGATTATCCGGGGCCACCGGACGAGTCATTTCAACAATGAAGTCGGCAAACGCCTGACCTTTCACTGCCTTTCTTGGTTCGTAAGTGATTTCAAGTATTTGAATTTCAATAGCCCATTTCAACATTCTCCAGGATGAGTCCAAGGTAGACATTGGCCGCTTGAGTGGCTGGTCGGTGTAAATCACTACCGGATGTGCCAGAAAGTAGGGCTTCAATTTTTTGAAATCTATATACAGAGCAAGGCCAAATTTTTCAACTGTGGGATACCGGAGTTCAGCATTTTTAAGAACATGGCTAATGAAGTAAACTGAGAGCTGCACGCCTTCTCGCTCAGCAAAGAGAACGACAGTGAGGGCATGATTTGAGACGGCTAAGTACATGTACAACGTCTCCCTAGGTAAAGGACTGACCAACCTAGGTAGAGAATGTAAATGCTCTTTCAACCTCTGGAATGTCGTCTCAGCATCATCCCCCCATTCAAATCTGGTCTTCTTCCTGATTGCTTGGAAGAAGTAGAGGCACTTGTCGCCTGACCGACTGAGGAACCACCCCAGGGCGGCCAGACAGCCGGTGAGTCTCTACACTTCCTTGACAGAACGGGGTGACTTCATGTCTATCACCGCCTGTATCTTTTCAGGGTTAGCCTCTATCCCCCTTTGATCAATCAGGAATCCGAGAAACTTCCCAGACTCAACACCAAAGACGCATTTCTTAGGATTTAAAATAACCTTATGCCGCCTGAGGGTGGTGAATGTTTCTCGGAGATCAGTAAGGTGATCCGTCTGGAGCTTGGATTTGACTATCACATCATTCCTCCCAATCTGATTAATGAGGACCGTATTAATCATCCGTTGGAAAGTGGCAGGCGCATTTTTCAAGCCAAACGACATCACAGTATAACAGAATAACCCCTGATCAGTGACGAAGGCCGTCTTCTCTTGATCTTTCTTCCACAGGGGGTATCTGATGGAAGCCGGAGTAGGCATCCATGAAGCTCATCAAGGCATGACCGGCTGTAGAATCGACCAGACTGTCGATCGTTGGAAGCGGATAACTGTCCTTTGGACACGCCTTGTTGAGGTATGTGTAATCAACACACATGCGCCAGGTCCCATTCGGTTTCTTAACAAGGACCACATTGGCCACCTAGTCGGGAAAATTACAAGGCCGGATGAACCTGGCGTCTAGCAGCTTTTTGACTTCGGCAGCTGCCGCCTGACTTCTTTCCTCACCGTGGTTTCTTTTCTTTTGCCGGATGGGCTTCTTTTTAGGATCCACGGCGAGCTTGTGGACAGCAAGGTCCAGGCTGACGCCTGGCATCTCTTCCACTTCAAAGGAAAAAATGTCTTTGAATTCCTTTAGCAGAAGGTGCAAGTCTGCACCCAAAGTAGCACGAGAAACCGTCCAACCTTTACAGTACGTTCCGGACGGCTGTCATCCAGAACGAGATCAATGCTTTCACCAGCCGGTTGGGGACGGAGCTCATCTGACCGTTCACCGGTCAGTGATTGCTATTTTTTCTCTTTCTTTACCTCCACCAGCAGAGGTGCCCTTCTTTTCTTTCCGGCTGCTGGTGGGGCAGGTGCTGGATGGCATCCTTGACATTGTCAAGGTCAATTGGTTCCTGACTGCCTGGGGTCACAGTGTCCCTGACGGCTAAGAGATAGCACTCCCGGGCCGTCTTCTGATCCCCATTAAAGGAACCAACAGAGCCATCATCCCTCTCATATTTGATGAGCATCAGAGACGGGATGATTACTGCCTTGGCTACGTTTAGGGTTGGCCGGCCAAGGATAATGTTGTAGGCGGTCAACTCCTCAACGACAAAGAATCTGACGATAATATGTCGTCCCTGGCCTTTCTCTCCTAGCCGGATGGGCAAGTCAATTCTTCCAGCTGGGTAGACCATCCCACCCCCAAAACCAACCAAGGGGTGGGTGACCGGATGCATGCTGCTGACATTGTATTTCAGCTTTTGCTGGCACCGGAGGCTGATGATGTCTGATGAGCTGTCGGTGTCAATAAGGGTTCGTCCAACCAGCTGGTTGGCAACCTTACATTCAATGACAACCGGGTCATCATGCGGACGACGGACGCTGCCCCTATCCTTCTCAGTAATCAAGACGTCTGGAAAGGAGGTGCTTATAGGCGTCTGCTCATCATCATCCTTGTCCATCTTTCGAAGATGGATCTTGGTGCCCCGGATGGTAGGGCCACCACAGGAGAACCCGCCTGCTATTGTGTAGGCTCCTTGTCGGTATCCGAGCTACTAGCAGGCTGGGGGTAGTCTTGGAGGACTGACCCTTGCTTTTCTTTTTTGCCTCGGCTGGGGACTTAGAAATGTAGGACTTCAACAACCCTTTGTCAGCTAGACGGTCCAATGCCCGCTGAAGATGATCTCCCGGGCATCAAGAGGTGACTTCTTACTTCTCACCGGCTATTGAGTCCGGCGGGAGTTATTGTTATTCCCCTTGGGGAGAAGAATTTTGGACCAATCAATGATCTCGGCTGCCTTCTCCTTTGGATGAGGAGTGGGCTGCCGATCTTTGACTGACTTCCACTTTTCCAGAGGAGTCTTCTTGGCCGTCTGACCTCTACTTGGGCCAGCCCGGCTCTAGGTGACCAACACTTTAATTTCACCCTTGAATCTTGTCATGAATCTCATGAGCTCGTCTCGGGTGACAGGCGCTAATCCAGTTGCCGTTTGGGTTTCCCCTTCCGGCTGCCCAGGGGGTCTACTTGCACCCGCCTGGGAGGCACCCCGCTCCAGAGTCTCTTTGGGCCGGATGCGCTTGATCCTGAGAGAGCCGTCTTCGGCTGTAAAGGTTTTGACCTGAGGATCTTTATCCTCCTGGTCTGTAAAGACTTCTGGGTCTTCGCCCAGACGGTTAGGGGGTGGTACAGACTCTTGAACCATCTTCGGGGTACTCTCTCCACAGACGGCGCCAAATGTTTTGGGTGTTTTTGTCCCTCGGGAGAGTTACAACACGAAGACTGATCCAGGGTGAGCTGTACCTGCAAAACAAACGGAGACACCAGTTGGGTGGTCCTCCGCCTCCGACGCACAAGTTAGAAAACTTGAAGGGAGAAAAAGGTGTAGAAATTTAGGTAGGGATGTGCTCAGATTCCAAGCTCAGGATGTCTCTATCAAAGAGTAAATGTGTAATAAATGATAAAACGTGCCGTCAAAAAGAGGGACATCTCCCTATTTATAGGGTCTTTGGGATTTTTGTCCCTGATTAGGTCACTGAACCCTCATCATTGGTGGGCTGCGCCGCTTTGCGGCTTTCTCGAGATTTGGGCCTGAAGGCCGCCTTTTCCCCTTATTTTCTGGAGTGACACGTGTCAATTAGAGATTGGTCCAATTTGAGCCATCCTGAGGCTGACACGTGTCATCCTCTGATTGGACCACTTGGCGGGGTAAAATTACCCTAAACATTTGCCCCCCACAGATGTGACGTGGCACGCCACGTGGCATTTGTGACATGTGTCACGCTCCGATTGGCGGTAATTTTACCATTAAAGAGTAACCGTTCACCTTCTGGGTAAATTACGGAAATGCCCCCATATTTACCCTCTATATATAGCCATTTACCCTCATAATTTTGGTACGTTTACAAAAAATTTTCTAGAGAGAACTTTGAGAGAGCAGAAGTCATCCGTTTGAGTCAGGAGCAAGCAAGAAAGCTCGTCTTCCAGAGACCCAGCCAGACCCGCCAAGTTTCAGATATCTCTTCAAAAGGTACAGTCTCTGCCTCTCTCAGCTCTTTTTCTTTTTTCACCGCTTGTACATATTTCTTGCAATAAATGGATGCATCACCAACACACACGGCACAACCTAGGTTAGAGTCCAGCCGGTCACCAGGGACGGCTGAGTCCAGGACTGGGAGTGGCGTCTTAGGGTGTTGGGTCCACCCATTTCCACGGATTCCGACCAATTACGTGTCTGTGCAGGACACAATGGCTCGGATAAAGAAGACATCGACTGATCCAAATTACAAGAGCGAAGGCTCAGGCAGCTAATCGCCTGAGGGAGAAACGTCCGGTCAGGGTGACCAGACGGCTCTGGAGAGATCCCCTCCGCGCGCCCCTTCAACCCCTGATGACTCTTTCTTGGAAGAGTGCGACCAAGGCGGCGACGAGGTCGCCTCTGCCCCTTGAATCAAAGTGAGGAGGAGACGAAAAGCGACATCTCCGCCTCTACCTTTGAGAGTAGTGACGATTTACCCCCGCTTCCTGATAGCGAGGAGGAAGAAAGGAAAAAGTGGAACGAGAAGGATGATCCCTTCAACATCCACGTCTCCTCCAAGGACCGGATCCGAATGGAGGAAAACTTGAAGAATTTTACTAAAATGCACCCGCTTGGAGACGGGTACATGATCCGGGTGCCGCCTTTGAATGGCATCGTCGCCTGGGAGGACGATCAGGAGAACGCCAACAACTATTTCGGCTGTTATGAGGTGGCGTTCAAGGCTGGTCTCCGCTTTCCCCTTCACCAGGCGGTGAAGGCAATTTTGAGAGGCTACGGCCTCGGAGTCTGGCAACTTACCCCCTACTCTTGGACTAACATTCTTGGGTATGTTGCCGCCTGCGAGTTTCAAGGGCTTCACCTCGGCTGGGAGGCTTTTGCTAGCATGCATTGTCTTAGCAGAAGCCCAGGCGGCTGGAGGGCGTGGTACACTCTAACCACGCAGCCCCAATATATGATGACTTTGGACAAGGTCTCGAAATTCGACGGCTGGAAGCACAGGTTCTTCCTAATGTTAGCTCCAACCAGACGGGAGAATTATGAATTCTGTCTGTACAATAAGAAGCCCGACTTGTTGGGCCGGAAGTGTGCTCTTCCTCGGGTTCCAGAGGAAGACTTTGACAAGATCATTGAGGCATAATTTTTTACCTCTCAGACGCGACCTTGTCAACCAGGGAAACAATAAAAGTTCCCAAGAACTGGATCCCTAAGAGCGCCTGGTTCAGGGACGAGTGCTTCCTAGCCGCCTGCGGGCTAGGGCACATGTTCACCAAACGTATGCGCCAGAGTTTATATCCGTCTGTAGTATTTTTCTATCGAAATTGTTTTATGATATTGACCAATTTCCTTCTTTTTACAGAAGAAGCATTAAACATGTTGCAGACGAAGAAAACCCCAAAGCGACCCTCTGCTGTCATCCGCAAGGCGCTTGCGGAGAAGGCTGCGGCTGAGGTCAAATCCAAGGTAACAAACACCTGACCCTTTCATAAGTTGATCTTTTAAAATCATTTTTCCCGGATGCTAACCTTAACTTTGGTTATTTTTGCAGGGAGGAGAGGTTGGAAAGTCGTTTGAGATACAACTCAAACGGGCTAGGGAGGAGACCCCTGCCGTTCTCAACAAAATAAAAAAATCCACCTCTGCATCAACTCCTAGCGCCTCATCCGGGCATCAGCAGATGCGGATAGCGGGGCGACTCGAGAAGATAGGCGGCAGCGTGTGCCTTGATCGTGTCAACCCCTTATCAGCAGCCGCGGGGTTTACCACGCCTGCAAGCGGTTCCCGCTTGGCTGGCTCTGAAGGTAAGAACCCTTTTGAATCCCCGCTTGATCTGGGGTGGCCTTTGCGGGTGAAATCCCACTTTCAACAGACGTCATCTTCAGACGGCCGGCAACAAATAGGTGCTGCCTTAGTTTCACACTCATCACGTATTGGTTGTGGTGCAGATCAATCTCCCCGCTGGCAGACGTCTAGAAGCACGCCAAGGCCATCCTGGAATCCGTCCGGAAGAGGGATAAAGACAGTATCCCTAGGATAGAGACGTTTAATCTTGAACGCATTCTATCCCTTCTGGCTGAGGTAAGAACCTTGTCAGTTCAATTTTATTTTTTCCATGTGTTTTATCCCGCCTGCAATACTCACACCGCTTGCTTTTCTGCAGGCTATGCTGCGGGTGGACGGGCTCAAACGCCCTTATTCCCACAAACGGGAAGAGGTAAAATGGGCCAAGAAGTCCGCCATAGACGCTGACAATATTTCTTTGCACTTAACTATCGTAAATGAACTTGAAACTAAAGCAATCAATATGACACAAGCGTCTAGAATCCAGCAGCTGGAGTCAGATCTGGAGGCGGCCATGCAACGGGCGACTGATGCTGAGATGGCCCGAAAGGAGGCGGAGGAGGCCAAGAAGAAGGCTGCTGAGAGTGCCAATAAGGCTGATGAGGCGCTCAAGAAGCCCCAGACGGACCTTGGCAATCTTTAGGGTGTTTCTGAAGAAAACACCAATCTGAAGACCAAAGTTCAAAAACTAGAGAAGGAGGCTGCTCAGGCTTAGATAAACTTTGCAGCAACCCTGGAGGCGGAGCAAAGCCGTCTAGTTGCTGAGAGTGACGCTGATAATGACGCCTGGATGAAGATCGCCTGGGCTGCGCTGTACCCGGACGCGGATTATGGCGTTTGGGCACTGGCTCACATATACGCCGAGGACGTGGTGTACCTGAGAGAGAAGGGTGATCCAGAGCCTGAGTCCTTCGACGCCTGAGTTAATGCCAACAATGAGCCCCTCATACCTCAGCTACCTGGTCTGGGTGAAGCGCAGGAGATACCCTAAGATGATGAGGAGGACCAGGAGGAGCCGCTTGCAGGCCAGAAGTGACTTTTCAGCGACAGTATGCCAATCTCTTTTTTTTTGTCTTTCTTTTATTCAGAGGCAGTATGCCAAAACTTGTTTTTCCGGCCTGTGTGAGTAAATTTGTATTTACCGGCTGAGGAGCCGAATCAATTAAAAATTTCTTTTTCTCCTGGACGGGGTCCGGTTAACATTTTAATCCACTACAACCGTTTGGTTGGGTGGTTTTTTTTGTCTTTCTTTTATTCAGCGGCAGTATGCCAAAACTTGTTTTTCCGGCCTGCGTGCCGAGTAAATTTGTATTTACCGGCTGAGGAGCCGGGTCAATTAACAATTTCTTTTTCTGCCAGACGGGGTCCGGTTAACATTTTAATCCACTACAACCGTTTGGTTGGGTGGTTTTTATGAAATGCACCGACTGAGTCGGTTTTGATCAATTTTAATTTTTCATTTTTGCCTAACTTATCAAAATCATAGGGCGATTTTTCATTTTTGCCTAACTAATCAATAGTCTGGCTGTCCTTGCCCCTAGACGGCTGTGTGGTTGGTTTTAAGTGGAGTCGGTTGATTGACTTGAAAACGTCTGATGCTGTAAAGAGCATGATATGTTTGCAAGTCAATAAATCACAATAGTGATTGCCCCAAACCAAGTGCACAGCCGTACACCAACAGGCGTTCCAGTCACTACCCAGACGGTGCTTATCCGTCTTGGTAGAGATTTCATAGCCATTGCACGACTCCTTTGCCCAAATTGAGGTAGGAATTGCAATTTTGGAATAAACAACCAAGTGAGATCTTCAGTCGATGACTGACTGATGCCCCAGGGCATTCGGTATTCGGCAACTTGATCATTCTTCACAGGTCATTTTGGTCAGACGGCTATGAGTTGACCAATTTGGTCGTTCAATTTTTGTCGTCTGCATGGGTACGTAGAACCGAAAAATAGCCTGTTCTCTGCGACGATTGCACCCAGAGGGGTGTCGCCGGACGCCTTTGTCCATGTTGGGACAGGCGATTTTATAAAATGAGCAACCATCTGGCAATTTTAGCCTCTAGTCTTGTTTGAGACCGGTTGTATAGCCACTAAACGTTTTTGTGCTTAGTTTTTAGTCAAAGTATTGAATTTACACTAAGTATCGAACTTAGTTTTGTAAACAAACGAGTCTGTCTGGGTATTACCCAGACGGATAATCAAGCAGTTGAATAAACAAAGTATCAAACTTAAATAAACAAGGGATCCGAGTATTACCCAGGCGATCCAACAAATGTAACCTTTACTAAGTATCAAACTTAGTTAGGTAAATGAAGAATCCGTCTGGGTATTACCCGGATGGATAATCAAACAATAACTCAATTTTGCAAACAAAGTTTGAATCTTCATTAATTGACTCACTGTTTACAAAAAGTTTACAATCTTAGAAGTAGTACTTTTTTAGATTGTCTACATTCCAAGTTCTAGGTAGACGCCTGCCGTCTGGAGTTTCTAGGCGGTAGGTGCCATCCCTTACTTCTTCATAGATCCGGTAGGGGCCTTCCCAATTTGGGGATAACTTCCCCAACTCATTGGCCCTACCGGTTGCCTCTATTTTTCTTAACACTAAGTCGCCAACTTTCAAAGGACGCTTATGTACTTTTTTTGTTGTAGGCTCTCGTCATTCTCAGACGGTAAATCTCAAGACGCAAGGCGACATTGCCCCTCCGTTCTGAAAGTGAATCCAATGTCAAGAGCATTGCTTCCCAATTCGCCTCTTCATCGTATAGCATGACTCTGAGGGTCGGCTCGTAATGTTCGATGGGCAAGACGGCTTCAGCACCGTAAACCATGAGAAATGGGGTTTCACCGGTTGCCCCCTTCGCTGTTGTCCGGATGGCCCATAGGACATGGATTAACTCTTCTGCCCATAAGCCACCGGCTCTTTCTATTTTCTTCTTAATGCCGTCTGAGATGAGTTTATTGAAGGCTTCAACTTGGCTGTTTTCTTGGGGCCGGCCAACGGATGCAAAAAAGCTTGAGATCCCCTGATCTCCCAACCAAGTTTTTAGCTGAGGCGTCTCAAACTGAGGACCATTATCAAACACCATAGACATAGGTACCCCATACCAGGTGATAATGTTTTTCCAGATGAAGGAAACCACGTTTGAGGTTTTGATATTTTTAACCGCCTAAGCTTCTACCCACTTGGTGAAATAATCCACAGCCGCCAACATGTAGCGCTTACCGCCTGGAGCAGGCGTGTAAGGACCTAAAATGTCCATGCCCTATTTTGCAAACGGGATTGAGATGTGGATGGCCGTCAGATCAGTAGCCGACGGTGGGCAAAAAATAATGCCGTCTGGCTCTGACGACTAGGGACCTGCCGCCTATATGAGAGGCGCAGAATCCCGAGTGCAAGTCTTCGAGAACTTCTTTCCCCTTTTCTGGGGTGACACACTTCAACAAAGGCTTCAGAAACCCCGCCTTGAAGAGTTCTCCATTTTTCAACTCGAATCTTGCAGCTCGTTTTTTCAGGACGGCTGCCTCCTGTGGCCAATTAGGGAGTGGGACGTCTGAAAGGTAGGCCCGGATGACATCCATCCAGGTAGAGCTTCGGTCCAGGATTCCAATGGGGTCCTCATAGATGCTTCTCTTTTCAAGAACTTCCCAGAAGACTGACCGAGGCATATCATGGCAGGCGAAAGACGCCAGTTTTGACAATGCATCCGCCTGATTGTTTTCCGACCTAGGCACTTGACTTAGTCGAAATTCCTCAAGTGCCTTGGTCTCTTCTTTGAATTCCTGAAGATATTTAATCATAGCCGGATGAGTAGCCTCGTAGATTCCCTCATACTGGCTAACAACCAATTGAGAATCAGAGTAGGCGTCAATTTTCATGGCCCCTGCCGCCTTACACATGCGAATGCCGGCTAACAGGGCTTCATATTCCGCCTCATTGTTAGAGGCTTGAAATTTGAAGCGTAGTGTATACTCAAATCTGTCCCCTTCAGGATAGTTACAACACGAAGACTGATCCGGGGTGAGCTGTACCTGCAAAACAAACGGAGACACCAGTTGAGTGGTCCTCTGCCTCCGACGCATAAGTTAGAAAACTTAAAGGGAGAAAAAGGTTCGAAAATTTAGGTAGGGATCTGCAAAGATTCCAAGCTCAGGATGTCTCTATCAAAGAGTAAATGTGTAATAAATGAAAAAACCTTCCCTCAAAATGAGGGACATCTCCCTATTTATAGGGTCTTTGGGATTTTTGCCCCTGATTAGGTCACTGAACCCTAATCATTGGTGGGCTGCTCCGCTTTGCGGCTTTCTCGGGATTTAGGCCTGAAGGCCGCCTTTTCCCCTTATTTTCTAGAGTGACACATGTCAAGTAGAGATTGGTCCACTTTGGGCCATCCCGAGGCTGACACGTGTCATCCTCTGATTGGACCACTTGGCGGGGTAAAATTACCCTAAACACCATTGTTGTCACAATAGAGGTATATAGGATCCTTGATGGAGGGGACAACATTAAGTTCACCAATGAAATTGCGAACCCAAACTACCTTCTTAGTTGCTTCAGATGCTGCCAAGTATTAAACTTCAGTTGTAGAATCTGCAATTTTGCTTTGCTTAGCACTCTTCCAACTAAAGGCTCCTCCATTGAGACAAAATATGTACCCAGACTATGACTTGAAGTCGTCTCTGTCTATATGGAAGCTTGCGTTGGTATACCCTCAACAACCAATTTATCTCTGCCACCATAGACCAGGAATTTATCGCTGTTCCTTTTCAGGAACTTTAGGATATTCTTGGTCGCAGTCCAATGCACCTCTCCTAGGTCCAATTGGTATTGGATTGTAGCGCTCAGGGTATACGAAACATCTAGCCTAGTACATATCATGGCATACATGATCGATCCAATTAGCGAAGCATATGGAATTTGATTCATCCTTTCTTTCTCATCAGGTGTCTTTGGACACTACTTCTTGCTTAGGGTTATGCCATGTGACATGAGTAGGTGACCTCTCTTGGCCCATTCCATTTGGAATCGAGCAAGTACCTTATCAATATAGGTACTTAGACTCAATCCTATCATCCTTTTTGATCAATCCCTATAGATCTTGATGCCTAGTATGTACTGAGCCTGTCCCAAGTCTTTCATTGAAAAACATTTTCTGAGCTAAGCCTTTATAGGCTCTAATAACGGAATGCTATTTCCAGTGAGTAATATGTCATTGACATATAAGACTAGGAAGGTGATGTAACTCCCACTGACCTTCTTGTAAACACAAGACTCATTTGGATTCTTGATAAAACTAAACTTACTGATGGCTTCATCGAATCGCAGATTCCAACTTCTACTTTCTTGCTTTAATCCATAAATGGATATCTTAAGCTTGCATAACTTTCCAGCGTTGTTTTGGTCGACAAAACCTTCAGGCTTTGTCATATACATAATTTCTTCAAGAATACCATTTAGGAAGGCGGTTTTGATGTCCATCTGCCATATTTCATAGTTGTATTATGTAGCAATCGCTAGGAGGATCCAAACTGATTTATGCATTGCGACTAGAGAAAAGTTTCATTGTAATCAATACCATGAACTTATCTATAACCTTATGCGACTAATCTAGCTTTGTAAATAAATACATTTCCATCTTTG